AATGATCATAACAAGTAAGAAACACAAGAGGATGTAGAAATAGTTGGGTAAAATACATTTCACAAGTAAAACAAAGCCAATCAAATTTGCCCAAATAGATACTTATCTTTTCGCACCTAAACTTCGCTTTCAAGCATATCTCGTCCATTCCACTAACAACTGAAATCAAAGTACACATTAGATTAGTTACGCACATAAAAATAAAAATTCAAAACATAACAAAAACAATAAAAGTAAAAAATAGGATAAGAATGATGAGGAGTTGGAGCAAAAGAATCAAAAGAACAATAAACCCAAATCCCTAATCCCTAATCTCAAACCCCTACTCTCAAAGCCCTAATTCTCAACCCTTAACTATAAACCGACAAGCTAAAAAAATGAAATAAAATACAATTAATCTAATAAAAAAGTAAACAAAACACATATAATCAAAGAAATGTTATGCAATTACAGTGAGATAATGAGAGTGTTAGGAATTAAAAATAACTGAAACAATGATCATAACAAGAAAAAAAACACAAGAAGATGTAAAAATAGTCATTTATAAAACACATTTCAGATGTAAAAGAAAGTCAATTAAATATGCACAAATAGATATACTAATCTTTTCGCTTCTAAACTCCGCTTTCAAGCTTATATCGTCCATTCTCCTAACAATTGAAATCAAAATACACATTACAATAGTTACACACATAAAAATGAAAATTCAAACATAACAAAAACAATAAAAGTAAAAAATAGGAAAAGAATGATGAGGAGGAGGAGCAAAAGAAGGTAAACAGCAATAACCCTAAATCCCTAATCCCTAAACCCTAATTTTTAAAGTCATAATCCCTACTCCTTAAGCCCAAATTTTCAACCCCTAACTATAAAACGACAAGCCAAAAAATTAAAATAAAACATAATTAATTTAATAGAAAAACAAACAAAACACATATAATCAAAGAAATGCTATGCAATTATAATGAGATAATAAGAGTGTTGAGAATAGAAAATAATAGAAACAACGATCATAACATAAAAGAAACACAAAAAGATGTAGAAATAGTCATTTGTAAAACACATTTCACCTGTAAAAGAAAGTCAATCAAATTTGCTCAAATAGATATATTTATCTTTTCGCTCCTAAACTCCGCTTTCAAGTTTATTTCGTCCATTCCACTACCAACTGAAATCAAAATACACATTAGATTAGTTACGCACATAAAAATAAAGATTCAAAACATAACAAAAACTATAAAAGAAAAAAATATGAGAAGAATGATGAGGAAGTGGAACAAAAGAAGCAAAAGAATAATAAACCCAAATCCCTAATTCCTAACCCCTAATCTGTAATCCCTAATCTCTAAGGCCCTAATCTCTAATCTCTAATCTCAAGTCTCTAATCCATAAGCCCTAATTCTCAACCTCTAACTATACACCGACAAGCCAAAAAAAAGATATAAAACATAAATAATCTAATAGAATAGCAAACAAAGCACATATAATCAAAGATATGTTAGGCAATTATAGGTTGTACAAAACATGAAAACAATAACGAAAAATGAAAAGCAAATAGTGGGTTTATTAAAGTGTCCAGAATTGAAATTAATAAAAACAATGATCATAACAAGTAAGAAACACAAGAGCATATAGAAATAGTTATGTGTAAAATACATTTCACATGTAAAAGAAAGCCAATCAAATTTGCACAAATAGATACACTTATCTTTTCGCTCCTAAACTCCGTTTTCAAACTTATCTAGTCCATTCCGCGAACAACTGAAATCAAAGTACACATTAGATAAGTTACGCACATAAAAATACAAATTCAAAACATAATAAAAACAATAAAAGTAAAAAATAGGATAAGAATGATGAGGAGGTGGAACAAAAGAAGCTAAAGACCAATATATCCAAATCCCTAATCCCTAATCTCTTAATTTCTAAAGCTCTAATCTTTAATCCCTAATCTCCAATCCCTACTCCCTAAGCCCAAATTCTCAAACCCTAACTATAAATTGACAAGCAGAAAAATCAAAATAAAACATAATTAATCTAATAGACAAGCAAGCAAAACACATATAATCAAAGAAATGCTATGCAATTATAGTGAGATATTGAGAGTGTTGGGAATTGAAAATAATAGAAACAATGATTCTAACAAGTAAAAAACACAAGAAGATGTAGAAATAGCCAGTTGTAAAACAAATTTCACTTGAAAAATAAAGTCAATCAAATTTGCACAAATAGATATACTTATCTTTTCGCTCATAAACTCCGGTTTCAAGCTTATCTCGTCCATTCCACTAACAACTGAAATCAAAATACACATTAGATTAGTTACGCACATAAAATGAAAATAAAAAACATAACAAAAATTATAAAAGAAAAAATAGGATAAGAATGACGAGAAAGTAGAGCAAAAGAAGCAAAAGAACAATAAACTCAAATTCCTAATACTTAACCCCTAATCCGAAATCCGTAATCCCTAATCTCAAGTCCCTACTCTATAAGCACTAATTCTCAACCTCGAACAATAAATCGACAAGTCAGAAAAAGGAAATAAAACATAATTAATTTAATAGAATAACAAACAAAGCATATATAATCAAAAAAATATAAGGCAATTATAGGTTGTGCAAAACATGAAAACAATAATGAAAAATTAAAAGCAAATAATGGGTTTCTGAGAGTGTCCGGAATTGAAAATAATAGAAACAATGATCATAACAAGTAAAAAACACAAGAGCATATAGAAATAGTTATGTGTAAAATAGATTTCACATGTAAAAGAAAATCAATCAAATTTACACAAATATATATACTTATCTTTTTGCTCCTAAACTCCGCTTTCAAGCTTATCTCGTCCATTCCGCTAACAGATGAAATCAAAGTACACATTAGATTAGTTACGCACATAAAAAAAAAAATTCAAAACATAACAAAGACAATAAAAGTAGAAAATAAAATAAGAATAATGACGAGGTGGAGAAAAAGAAGCAAAAGAACAATAAACCCAAATCCCTACTCCCTAATTTCAAAAACTCTAATTCTTAATCCCTAAGCCCAAATTTTCAACCCCTAACTATAAATCGACAAGCCAAAAAATCGAAATAAAACATAACTAATCTATTAGAAAAACAAACAAAGCACATATAATTAAAGAAATGCTATACAATTATAGTGAGATAATAAGAGTGTTGGGAATTAAAAATAATAGAAACAATGATCATAACAAGTAAGAAACACAAGAGATGAGAACTTCCAAAGTTATAAATTAGCTAACAAGGAGGTAAAAAAGATAGTTAAAGACGCTAAGTTAAAAGCCTACGACGAGTTGTACAAAAAATTAGACAATAAAGAGGGAGAAAAAGACATTTATAAACTAGCTAAAATTAGAGAAAGGAAAACAAGAGACTTTAACCAAGCTAAGTGCATCAAGGGCGAGGACTCGAAGGCTTTAGTTAAAGATGAAGAAATAAATGATTGGTGGAAAGACTATTTTGAGAAACTATTAATGAAAATCACTTAAGAAACTTAGAAGAGATAGAAAATTGAAGGATTCATGAAATGTTCTTTCATAAGATAAAGAATTCGGACATAGAGTTTGCATTGAAGAAAATACAATTAAGCAAGACTTTAGGACTGGATGAGATTCCAATTGAAGTTTGGAAGTGCTTAGGGAATGAGGGGGTCTCGTGGCTAACGAAATTATTCAATAGAATTATTGGCACTAAGAAAATACCCAATGGATGAAGAAAAAATATTTTAGTACCTATCTATAAAAACAAAGGAGATATTTAAATTTGTAATAATTATAGAGAGATAAAATTGATGAGTCATACAATGAAACTATGGGAAAGGGCCATTGAATGTCGCCTAAGAGTTGAGACTACAGTTTCAGAAAATCAATTTGAGTTTATGCCGAGTAGGTCAACTGTGAAAGTTATATATTTATTGAGAATACTCATAAAACAATATAGAGAAGAAGAAAAATCTCCATATATTTTTTATAGATCTAGAAAAGACGTATGATAAAGTGCCTAGAAATATAATATGTAAGGTGCTTCAGAGAAAAGGAGTAACGAATAGGTAAATTGAGATGATAAAGGATACGTATGCCGAGGATAGGACTACAGTTAGGTCTTTTGTGAGAGAAAATAAAGAATTGTCAATCATGGTTGGATTACACTCGGGATCGGCCCCAAGTCCATTACCTATTTGTCCAAATTATGGATAAACTCACTAGGCATATTCAACATGATGTCCCACGGCGTATGTTATTTACAAATGAACATACTAGGGAGATTAACAATAAGCTAAAAATTTGGAGAGAGCACTCGAGTCGAAAGGATTTAAAATAAGTATCAGTAAGACTGAATATATGCAATGCAATTTTAATAATAGAAGAAGTAGACATAGTGAAAAAAATAAGATTGAAAATCAAGAAATACCAATGAGTAAACGATTTAGATATTCTAGGATCAATCATTAAAAATAGTAGAGAGATTGGAGATGCTGTAACTCAAAGAATTAATGCCAGTTGGCTTAAGTGGAGGAAAACCTCTGGCATATTAGGTTATAAAAGGATACCAATAAAATTGAAGGGTAAGTTTTTACCGAACAACTATAAGGACAACAATATTGTATGGGACAGAATGTTGGGCAACTAGAAAACAACATAGTGACAAAATGAATAGCGGAAATGAGAATGTTAAGGTGGATGTGTGAAAAAACTAAAAAAGATAGAATACAAAACGGTCCTATTAGAGAAATCGTAGGAGTAACTCAAGCATCGGTTCGAAAAAGCGATAGAATTTCTCTTAATGATACTAGAAGTAGGGGTAGACCTAAATTTACATTGAACGAAATAATAAATAAATATATGAAAATAATTAACTTAAATGAGTGTATAGCGCATGATCAAAATGAATAGCGAAGACGGACTCATATAACCGATCTCAAATGATTAGGACATAAGACTTGATTTGATTTGATTGATTACAAAGATTGTTGTGATGCTATGGTTGCTGCAAGTGTGGTATGACAGTGCCGAGTTGGAGAAGAGTTCGAAGGATTCATTATATCGCTACGATATTGATAACGGGAGAAAGGTACAAACTGATGAGGTATATGGTGATATTGCAAGAAAGTTTATTGATGATAACTTGATTTATGTTCAAGAAGAAGGTAATATGATACTATCCTCGTACTTTTGAAGGTAATATTTCCCAAAAAATCCAGTGATGGTTTCTCCGGGGATATTCTTTATTTGGGGAATGGGTGTGTCAATGTCGGTGCTCATTCTGGTGATTTTCTTCTTTCAAGGGTGGGAGTGTCAATATCCATACAGGTTCTGGGTCTAATGGTGTTGCTGGGATGACATGGAATTGAGTGAGAAAATGGCGATGTTTTCTTCTGCGAAGGATGGGTGTGGGGATGGGTATAGGAAAGAATTGGTTTCCACAAACTGTGATGTAGCTAATTCAGGTCCATGGGGAGAATAGACATTTGCGGCGTCTGGGTGAACCTGGTTCAGGTTTATTAGGTGTTCCACTTATTACTGCCCATGATCCAATATTCAAAATTGATGATAGATGTCCCATAATTAATGTTGGTCTAATGAACTCTGATGCTGTGACCACTGAGACAATAGTGAGCTTTAAGGGTGAAAAGAATAGATGAAGGAGGTAGGGATAATATAATGAATGCTTCCTGTTGGATGAGAAAAAATGGGTTGTGTTAAAGAATTTTTTTATATAAAATGGATTTGTCTCTAGTTCCATCAAAAAAAAAGGGGGGAAGCAAAAACATGAATGTAGAAATGAGAGGAAGAGAAAGGGAGTGGGAGAGTTAAAAAATTTAGAGTCGGGGATAAATTATTAGGGAGGTAGTTGTAAGAAAGGTGGGGAGGGATCTATAGTTTGTTATGAAGATTGTTAAGTTGGAATGCTAGAGAATTAGGGTCGAGGACGAAAAGGTTTTCAATAAAGGTGTTTTTGGGAAGAATTGAGACAGATATAGTTATTTTACAAGAAACTAAGTTGGAGGTCATTGATAAGAGAGTCATTAGTAGTGTTTGTGGTCTAGGTTCTGGAATTGGGTTTTTCTATTTTCTGTAGGAGTACACGTGGTATTGTCATCATTTGGGACGAGAGATCTATGAGCATGGAAGAAACTCGAGGGAGAATTTACTATTTCAATTAGAGTTAAGCACAGGGAGGGATATGGTTGGTGGTTTATTGGGATTTATGGCCCTAAAAAGCCTAGTATTAGGGCTATATGGGGGGTGTGGGTATAGATGGTGTATAGGGGAGATTTTAAGGTTATAAGGTATCCAAAGGAGAGGATGAATGGGGAGAACAACAAAAAGTGTTGAAAGATTTTGATTCTTTTAATAGGGAAACCGAGCTTAGGGATGCTACTTCATGCTCCAGCTTTCCATTTCAGGAAGGACGATATACTATGATACTTTTTGTTTTGTCGAGCCTTGCTTTAGTCTCTGGTTTGACGGTTGTATGTGCTAAAAATCTGGTACACTCCGTTTTGTTTCCTATCCCAGTCTTTTGCAACACTTCAGATATACTTCTTTTATTAGGTCCCCCCTTGGCAAATGGAGTGTTTACATGGTCTAATGGTAGAACAGTCACGGTGTGTAAACAACCAATCCATATCTTACAATCAAGAGCAAACCGTCCAGTAAAGCCCTGAATTCTGCTACCATATTAGTACAGAACCCATAATAAAAGGGAGCTGCGAGCACTCCCCTTTTTTCCCCCTCCCCCCCAATTCATTTCTCATAATAGCACCCCCACCAGCAACGCCAGGATTACTCTTGGCAACACAACCATTTACTAACTACTGGAATACCCAACTTCTGAATCCTAGAATCTAGAGGAAGAGCATCCAACAAAGTTTTCCAACCAATCAGCATAGCACTAGGGGCTGTGTTCAATCCCCAAATGGCAACAACAACCTCATTCCTTACCCCTTGCTTTCTAATCACTTGCCAAGCTGATTTAACAGAAACAACCCCAGCATTAGTCTGTCGCCACACTAGTTTATCAGAGATACCAGACAAAGAAATATCAGAATTCAAAATTTCTCCTCTAAGCTGTTCAGGCAAAAATTCCTTCACCTCACCCAAACACCACTGAGAGTCCAGACACTTCAGAAATCTTAGGAAAAAATGAGGAGATCCCTCAATTCTTTTCAACAAAGGCACATCATTCAACCAACAATCACACCAGAAATCTACAGAAACTCCATTCCCAATAATGACTTTTGATTGAAGCATAACTCTTTCAAAAAAAGGCCTTAAAGATTTATAACACTTTGCACGCCCCTTACCTAAGCTTCTCAAAATATGCCTCCCTTTCAGAATTTTGTAGAAAAGATTTTAGCCCACAAAGAAGAACCCTCCATGATATTCCAGACTGGTTTAGGGTTTTAGGGTTTAGGGTTTAGGGTTTTAGGGTTTTAGGGTTTAGGGTTTAGGGTTTAGGGTTTAGGGTTAGAATTT